GACTCCAAGCCGCGGATTCTGCTTATGGGGCTGCGGCGCAGCGGGAAGTCTTCCATCCAGAAGGTGAGGGGCAGCCGGCGGGTCCCGCTTGCCGCGCTGCCTCTCCGGCGCCGAGCTGTTTCTGCTTGCTGTGCAGGCAATTGCTGCTTTTTAATGTGGGCCTGTGTAGCGAAGTTGGAGCGACGGGAGGCGCCTGCTTAAAGACCTTTACTTTCCAGAATGAACTCTGATCAGCTGCTACAGAGAGGAAGATTGTGTAGCATAGGTTGTAGCCTTTGAATTTCTACGGTTTCAATGCTTCAAAAGTAGAAAGTGAAGATGCTGGTGTGAAATTTATTGTGAGATGTTTTCTTACAGATGTGAAAGCACTGTGAGTAGTACAGGTGTGTGGTGTTTAGCTAGCCCTTCTGCTTGGAAGAAGACTTGAGCTGTTTTTTTGCCTTTTGTGCTTTGAAGGAGACTTCTGCTTTTTGTACGAGCAGAAAGACAGGCTCTGGTTTTCTTTAGTTTGCTAGACCGAGCAAACGAGAGTCACTTGTCAAGGAGGAAATGCAACGATTTCGGTGCCTTAGGTTTGTTGTTAGCTCTGTGAAGTCACTAATGTTTCTTAATAAAAATAAGACAAAACTGACCACATAGCTCAATAGAATTTTAGTGCTAAGAACGATCCTTGTTCCTCAGTGCAAATTTTGTTTGCAGTCCCTATTGTGAAGTTTTTAGGTGATATTTTTATGGGAAGATGCTTCTAATGAAGGGCGTGGTTCTCAAGCTCTGAACTTAAAGGCCTCAAACCTGCTTTAAATGCAGGTTTGAAGACCTACAGAGATTTCTGTAAAAGTTTTGTGCAGAGAAGCCTTTTTTGGGCATTGTAGTGTAGCAGGTATGAGTCTGCCTCTTTTAGCCATTTTATATAGTCTGCTTGGTAATCTGTAGACTGTGGTAGACAAGTGAATTCAAAACTGACTTCAGGCTGTGGTCTGAAGACTGTTATTTTCAGCTGTAGACTTGCCTGTCTATCGACTAGCTTTGCAAAAGGTACTGTATGTGTTAGAAATCTGTTAGAAATTTTTTCCATTGTGGTATTCTGTAGTACAGTGGCAGACTGGGCTGTCATTGCTTTTTGGTGTTTCCAGTTATTCCCCGTTATTTAGGTCTAATGCTCCCACTGTATGCGCAAATGCAGTGATTGCACTAAAAGTCTTTTTCTAAGTCTTTTAATCATGTGAACAGCATTCATTGTAGACTCTCATTAGAGATCTTACTGTATTATCCACTGTTGAAAAAAGTGAACCCTAAAAGCTATAGGGAAGCAGTAGCTCCAAATTGCAGATAGATTTTAAGACTTTATGAGCCTCTTTATAGATGAAGCTATTGGACTTTTTATATGGCCAAAGTTGGTAGTCCTGTGTTCTCTGAGGACCTGTTCAAGTAGTTGTATAGGAAAGGAACTGTGTGATGCTTAGTATGCAATAAGAGGATGTAGAATTTATCTTCTGCTGGTTGGTTACTCATTTGCCTTAGGCATTAGAAGCTGTGATTCTGATACCTAGGAGCTCATTGTGATGCTGCCTGAGCAAACTAACAGTGACAATAATTTGAGACGTTCTTGTAATATCAAGAAATTTCTCTTCAACAGCATCTCTGCACTTAGGTCTGTCTTGTTCAAAAATGAACATAACCCAGAGCCAACCCTTCTGTCTGGGCACTAGTTGTTGATCACCTTGCTGGAGCATAGGGATATGCAAGATAAACAATGTAGCAGGGAAAGTATTGGCTTTGTAGATATCTAGAATCTAATTTATGTGAAAAACATAAATTATTAAACCATTCAAGCCTTCTACCAAGAGCAATATTAACAGGAGATCGCTCGTAAAAGAAAAAATTATGGTCCTGGGGAGGAACGTTTTTTTTCTTTTGGACAATTGGGTTTTCTGTACCTGTGTAACCTGTAAATGTTCAGTTGCAAATTGAGGGTAGAAGATTTTGGGAATGTGATGTTTGCTTCAGTTCATAAAACTAATTTTTATGCAAACTTATGACTTGCATAAATAGACTTGCAGTGTACTGTCCCTGTGTAATAGGAACATGGAAAGAGTTCAAAATACCTGTTTTCGGGAGGATTTTGTGTGTGTGTATGTGAGTTTTCTTTTGATTATGGGGTGGGTTTTTTGCTTTTTTTTGGTCACAATCACCAGACTTGCTGCTCTACTTTTATAAGATTGGCATAAATATATTATTGGGAAGGAATTTTTGTGTGCATTAGAACCTAAAGTGACAGCGTGTTTGGAGTTACTGTAAACCTTTCATTTATACCCATTTTTCTTAAACAGTGTAAAATGAATTGACCTGGGGGAGTAGAGTGTCAGAACCAGCGGTCTGTCCTGCTTCTGTAGCAAGCTCTAATACTTAGAAAATCTGACAGCAGGGTGTAATGTAGTGCTCCTAGCAGCTAGCGAATTTCTTTTAAAACTTTGCCTTATCTTCCTTTTGCTGTACTTAACCCTCTTCCTTTGTTGGCCCCCGAATCTCTCCTGTGGAAAAAAATACAGCTGCTTACTTCAAAGACCATCTTGTTCACTGTAGCCGCTTAAGAAATTGGCAGAATTAAAGCAAAGATTCTGGAAAGCATGGAAGTGAGAAAACAGCTGTTGAGGATTCCCTTGGAAGTTGTGTTTCAGTGTTACCTGTGAAGAAGCTGTTCACTTCCAATTAGTAGATTCTCAACACTGTCTTGGAATACTGTACCTTTTCTCTCTGTTTTCAGGCACCTCCTTCCATCTGCCCATGCAAATTCCTTTCTGGACATTGGGGCAATAGAAATAGTTTAATATTATATCAAGAAAAAAGTCATTATGACTGAAAGCAAAAAGGAGTTTGAAACCCCACTCTGCACTTAGACTTGTAGGTAAAGCTGCCTATTTTAATGTGCAGAATGACTCTGTGCTGCAGTGGAGAGACTGGTTTGTGAACAGCAAATTGCCTTCTTCAGCTCTGTAGACTTCGTTAAGGTGTGCTTCATGGTGGCTTGGGACAACTCCCAGTGAAGGTTTCTTCCCTTTGGGTTCCTTGCATTGACTGTGAAGGTTCTTAGAACCGAGTTCTGGTTCTGAAACCAGTTACTCATGTTTGCAGCCGAAGTATCAGAAAAAGGGCAACTATTCTAGATTTGTAACTTTGTAGATTTGTAAATTTCAGGGAGTGCAATTCCTGTGTTAGCTCTTCCTGCAGCTTCTAGGTGTTGCTACAATGTACCCATCAAGATGTCCTGCTGTGGCAGGTTATGTTGGATATTAAACTGTTGTTGTAGCATTGTTGTGGAAGTTGTATTTGTCACTTGATACGTAAGATTATTGTTTGGTAGTCTGGGAAATTTTTGTTTGTATGAATCAGGGCAATATTTCAGCTCGAAGTGAAATTCCAAATATGGCTGTTGTCTGATTTGTAAAAAAACTTAAACGCATGCTTCCCTGGGAAGCCCATTGGAAATGAACATGTTGGACAAATTCAGCTCGTGGGTCCAAAGGAGTATAACTACTTGAAAATTGAGACAGAAATGGTGAGTTGAAAATAAGATGATAAAAGAGCAGCCCAAAACCATGGAGGTGGCTCAGAAGTACTGCGTCAGGAGTGCAGCTCAACTGCTGCAATTCAAAAATAATACCAAGTGCCGCTGTAAAGAAGTTATTGTAGAGACAAGGTTCACACATCGGGAATTTAAAAAAAATCATGAAAACTCTTGAGATCGTGGCAGATCAGATGTGAATGGAAAATTCAGTAGTAGAGTGTACTGCTCAAGCTGACAGTGAAGAATTCTTTAAATATGGTAAAGGCAGGAAGTCAGTAGGACTGTTAGATGTTGAAGTTGTAAAGGAACACAGGAATGATAAAAGCCATAACAAGGAGACTCCGGAGATTGTTACAAATTTATTAGCTTTGGCTGCTCTGTCTGGGTATGCATAGTCAAAATTGCTTGTCATCAAGAGTGTACTGCTCAAGCTGACAGTGAAGAATTCTTTAAATATGGTAAAGGCAGGAAGTCAGTAGGACTGTTAGATGTTGAAGTTGTAAAGGAACACAGGAATGATAAAAGCCATAACAAGGAGACTCCGGAGATTGTTACAAATTTATTAGCTTTGGCTGCTCTGTCTGGGTATGCATAGTCAAAATTGCTTGTCATCAGTGTTAGCTGTGTGCTAATCAGATGCCTCCAAAGCCTTTTTATTTGCTTTATTGAAGCTGTGCAACACGAGTAAGAGCGGGGGTTAGATACTATGAGACAGAAATGGAATTTGATCTAAAGTGTTTCCTGGTTCCCCTATCAGCATGAAAAAACTGATGGGGGCACATCTATCTGATGAAATGCACTGCTTTGGAAGAAGGGGAAAGGAATGTGATAGCATTGCTTCCCAGGGACTTACCTGCTTCAAACTCAATTTACTAATTCTCTCCAGCTCCCGTGGGAGATGCTGAGTTCCAAAATGCTTATAAATTAAATGTTTCATAGCATTTTAAAACTATGCTGCAAACCTTGAAGAATGCAGTACAGCTGCTACACGTCTAGAACTGTTCTTAATTTTCCATACTAACGTCATGCTGTTTAGTACCTCATTTAGACCCTGGCCTTAAACATATGCCTCAAGGAACTAAGGTTTTTTCCCTTGGCCTTAAAAATATGGGTTGATATATTACTTTGAGCTTCACTAAACAATCCATTAACTATAGTGGATGTGGAGCTGTTTGCCTTGCAATGTTTTTGACTGTTGTACCAGGCCTCTAATGTATGAAACTGTATGAGATATTTGAAAAAAACCAAAATTATGAAATGCTGTATAGGAAGTATCTTTCTTTTTGCAGTCTTCATGTTTGACCGCATTATGTTTGGTGTAACTTTCATATTATACAATTGAGTTGCTTTAGCACAATTTTCACTGTTGACACTGACTGCTTTTGCTACAGACTGCTTTACTGGGGGGTTACATGCTAGTTCTGTTTGTACAGGTAAGAGTTACTTGGACTTGTGAAAATGCTTAGTTGTATACAGTTGCTTGATTCTGGTCACGGGTAGGTTATTTCCTTAGCCGATGCAGGAAGCTGTACACTTTAGAATGGATAAACCTATTTGTAAAATTCAAGTCACAAAACTTTGACCAATTCCTTCTAAAAAGGTTAAGTCGAGACTGTTACTTGTGTTCTTTTAACAGGTGGTATTTCACAAAATGTCTCCCAATGAGACTTTGTTCTTGGAAAGTACCAACAAGATCTACAAAGATGATATTTCCAACAGTTCGTTTGTGAATTTCCAAATATGGGATTTCCCTGGACAGATGGACTTTTTTGATCCAACATTTGATTATGAGATGATCTTCAGAGGAACAGGTGCTCTAATATATGTTATTGATGCCCAGGTAAATACAAATTTCTAAGAATCAGAAGGAAGTTTCATTTCTGTCTTTTGTGCAAGAGAAATGATCGAGAAGCTAATAATTTATATTTTTAGATAGGTTTGTAAAACATCTGCTATGTGTGAAGGGATACATTGCCAGTCTGACATTTGCTGTGCCAGATGGTCTGAGTTATCCCTTCCTTCTGCTATGGTGTTTGTTTAATAACAGTTTCAAGTACTGGTACTGTTGAGTATCTGTCAGCTTCTAATAAACCTAGGATTTGCACCATGGGAGATTACCTGGTTCTTAGGACCATCTTGGAGATAACTGCTGCCTTTTGCTGGAGTTGAAGTGTAACCCGCCTTTTGCTCTGACATCTAGTTTTGTGTAGCTGAGCCTTGTATATCTAACAAAACTTAATTGACATAACAGAATCTAAACTGCTTGGATTTCTGACACTTCGGGGTATTCCCTTCTTCCATACTTCTGTTTAGTTACAGAAGTGAAGTTCTTGCAATGAAATATTTTGTCCTTGTGCAGAATGGAATAGTTATCGAAGAGAAAGCTTTCTCATTCATTCCTGCCAAAACTGATTTACAGGACGACTACATGGAAGCTTTAACGAGACTCCACATTACAGTTTCAAAAGCGTACAAGGTCAACCCAGAAATGAACTTTGAAGTTTTTATTCATAAAGTTGATGGTTTATCAGATGACCATAAAATAGAAACTCAGAGGGATATTCATCAGAGGGCTAATGATGATCTCACGGATGCTGGGCTTGAAAAACTTCACCTTAGGTGAGTTAAAGATTCTGGCAAATGTGATTCTATTGTTGCTGATATGCATGCTGATTAACAGCTTTTAGATGTAATACTGGACCAACTGGAGCAAAGTCTGCTTAGTTCCTTAATATCAAACAAGCTTTTGATAGTAAAATACTCCACTGAACTTACAGACAAGCCTCAGCACTCAGGGTGACTAAAATAAAGGTGGGCTACTCTATCAGATTTCAATCAACAGATTTATTCATAAACTCGATGATAATTCAAGGTCCTTCTCATTCAATATAACAGGCCAAATTTGTACGTGTAACCTGGAGGGAAAGGAGGGGGGAAGCTCTCTGCCGTCTCATCCTAGCTAGCATTGACTTTTCAGCGTGATTGGTTTTAAAAGCTTATTCTGTTCCTTGATATCTGACTCATTTTTAAAGTGTATTCTACAGACACCTTTAAAACAAGCTATCTTTTATCTGGTTTTCACTGCTATTTTGATTCTTGTGGAGCCTGTGTCTCTCAATGTTAACGTAAACAAAGCAGACAGCCAGGAATAGGACTTGCAGAAATCTAACTGAGCGTTTTTAAGCCTGTGTGATGAGCATTCTGTAGGCTAAATGCCTTGTGAAAAAATGTTTGAATTTTTATCTTTGGTCTCCCATCTCTCAGGGATGGGGGTAATCTGTTTCATGTTTACTCCAGCTGCTCAGAAATTAGGTTCTTTGTGCAGTGACCAGGCATATTTGTGATAAAGGCATCCCAGCCAGAGCATCAGGCCCGAATGTTAGAAAGCAGAGCTTTAACATTTCTATTGCATTTCTGAAATGCTCTTTAATCTTCTTTTTCTTTTTTTCCTTCCTTTTTCTCATCATCTCAGCTTTTATTTGACCAGTATCTATGACCATTCAATATTTGAAGCTTTCAGTAAAGTGGTGCAGAAGCTCATTCCACAACTGCCAACCCTGGAAAATCTACTAAATATCTTTATATCAGTAAGTGTTAATCTAACAGAATTTTGAGTCAAATATGTAGAATGGTAAAGCGAGTCCTTCTGCTGAGGAACACTGGCCAGAATTGCCTTTGGGAGATTTGGGTGGCACTCATTAGGTGTACTCTGCTGACCTGGTTGTCTATGTTAGAAGCTTTTTACCACAGCTGAATTGTGCTGCTGCATGTTTTGTGGGGACTTCTCTAAATATTGACAAACTGTAGTTTGAGTGGTTATAACAGCTGATACAGAATTTTCCTGCCAGCAGGATGTACTGATTAGTCTGCTAAGTCACTTAGTAGTCTAAGGTAGCTCTACTGGCAAGAGGCTTTTTTGATAATATGAACTCAGTCTTCAACTAAAGTGTCTACTTGGCCCGCAAGACTTTGCCCTTGTTTTTTTTTAGTGTTTGCACTTCTTATAGAATTTCTGGTATAGAAATTTGCTGCTATATGCTTTCAATCAAATAAAATATCACCCTAGAGACGTGACTGTCTCGTTTAAGTTATGCATGTGGACCAGACTGAGAAGGGCAAAGGTGGAGACTGGAAGAATGAAACTCCTAAACCCACTGTAGAAGAGGATCAGGTTTGAGACCATCTAAGGAACCTGAGCGTGCATAAGTCCATGGTCCTGATGAGATTAATCCTCGGGTCCTGGGGGAACTGGCAGACGTGGTGCTAAGCCACTGCCTATAATTTTCAAGAAGTCGTGGCAGTCAGGTGAAGTCCCTGATGACTGGAAAAAGGGAAACATAAAAGGGGAAATTAAAAAGGGGAAAGCAGAAGAACCAGGGAACTGTTGACCAGTCAGTCTCACCTCTGTGCCTGGCAAGATCATGGAGCAGATTCTCCTGGAAGCTATGCTTAGTTGCATGAAAAGAAAAGAGGTGATTGGTAATAACCAATGTGCCTTTACCAGGAGCAAGTCATGCCTGATGAATTTGGTGGCCCTCTATGATGGGACCACTGAATTTGCACATAGGGGCAGAGCAACTGATATCATCTTCCTGGACTTACGCAAGGTGTTTGACACTGTCCTGTGTGACATCCTTGTCTTTAAATTGGAGAGCCATGGATTTGGTGGATGGACCACTTGGTGGATAAAGAACTGGCTGGACGGTCGCACGCAGAGAGTTGAGGTCAGCGGCCCATTGTCCTCGTGGAGGCCAGTGAGGAGTGTGTGGGGTGGGCCAGTTGACACGCTGGAGGGAAGGGATGCCAACCCTTGCTAGTAGACCAGAAAGCCGTTCAAATTCTGGGCTGCATCAAAAGAAGTGTGGCCAGCAGGTCGAAGGAGATGATTCTCACCCTCTGCTCTGCTCTTTGACACGCTGGAGGGAAGGGATGCCAACCCTTGCTAGTAGACCAGAAAGCCGTTCAAATTCTGGGCTGCATCAAAAGAAGTGTGGCCAGCAGGTCGAAGGAGATGATTCTCACCCTCTGCTCTGCTCTTCGTGAGACCTCACCTGGAATACTGCACACAGTTCTGGTGCCCTCAATACAAGAAGGACATGGAACTCTTGGACCAAGTCCAGAGGAGGCCACAAAGTTGATAAGAGGACTGGAGCATATCCTGTATGAAGAGAGGCTGAGGAAGTTGGGGTTGTTCAGCCTGGAGAAGGGAAGACTGTGTGGAGACCTCAGCTTTTCAATGTCTGAAGGGCCTACAAGGAGCTGGAGAGGGACTCTGTATTAGGAACTGCAGTGACAGGACAAGGGGTAATGGGTTCAAACTGAAGGAGGGAAAGTCTAGGTTGGATGTG